ACTGTTTTCCTTGTGAACTTTGACCCCTAAGTTAATTCAAGAGAAGTATCAAATTTAAAGGGCCTGAAGGGTTCCACAGTTAGGAAATTGCTTTTTGATAATGAACATCATAATGCTAACTTCTGCCTCTTCCCTAGTTCCTACCAGGAAACAGTCCTCTTCTATCTCCTCCTGTCAGTGTGACAGAGGCCTCAATAGCTATACAGCACTTGAAAAAGGAGGTGGTGAGGCTGTCCATCGCCCACCTGCTGTAAAGACAGACACATACACATACACACACACACACACACACACACACACACACTAGTTGCTGACAGCAAATCTCCACTTCTACTTTTTGGGGGTTTTTTGGAGACAGAGTCTCACTGTCGCCCTGAATAGAGTGCAGAGGTCTCTTCACAGCTCACGTCAACCTCAAACTCCTGGGCTCAAGCAATCCTCCTGACTCAGCCTCCCAAGTAGCTGGGACTACAGGTGTGCACCAACACGCCTGGCTAATTTTTTTTATTTTTAGTAGAGACGGGGTCTCACTGTTGCTCAGGCTGGTCTCAAACTCCTCACCTCAAGCAATTCTCCCACCTCGGCCTCCCAAAATGCTAGGATTATAGGCGTGAGCCACCGAGCCCAGCTTCCAATCCTACTTTTATCAGGTTACCCGGACCTTCAAGCACACCTGCGTACCTGGCAGTATCTCAATCAGAGTGGACAGGCACTCTCAGCCCCCCTACACTGGCTGGCAGACCTGACAGACCAAACCTGTCCCAGGAGCACATGACATAACAAGAACAGTTTTAGTTGCTAATGTGCAAAAACAGGTTACATATTACAGCTTTCTTTAAAGGCTCTACAATTCACCAATGCTAGCAAGATGGGTAATAAAAATGTGACTTACAGTTGCAAAAGTCATATACAAGTTCCTTGACAGGAACCTAAGTTTTCTGAGGTAATAAAAGAAGTGTATACAAACCAATCAAGACAGACACTCACTCTACAATGAGACATCATTACTTCAAAAAAAAAAAGAGCCTTTCGTGCCTGGAAAACTCAGAAGCGGTACAAACATGAAGTGTGCTCCCCGGGGGGAGGCATTTCTGCACGGACACCCTGGCCACTGTCACATCTGCCTCGGCCGGCACCTACCCTTGGCCAGCGCCTCGCGGTACTTCTCCTCAGTGACGTTCAAGTTGTTCACGTAGGCTGCGTGGTGCTTGCTGTGGTGCAGCTGCATGATCTGGGCGTTGATGTGGGGCTCCAGGGCGCCGTAGTCGTACTGCAGATCCGGCAGGCTGTGCTTCTGCCTGGCGCCCAGAGTCGCCAGGGCCGGCGCCAGCCCCCTGCTCGCGCTGGAAGACACAGACACAGAGCGTCGGTCCCGCGGGCCGGGCGGTGCTCGCAGGCGGGATGCAAGGGACCGACGCAGCCCCGTCACGGACTCGCCGCTCCCCGGCTCGCTCGCTTCCGACGCGCCCGGACGCCCGCCACGGCACACGCGAGGTTTCCACAGCCCCAGGCGGCGCGCCGCGGGGACACCTGCCGTCCGCAGCGCTTCCCCGAGGCGCCCCAGCCGGCCGCCACACGCGGCACCTGAGGGAGAAGCCCCGCGGGTAGCCGGGACCCGCCAGGCCCCGCGCGGCCGCCGTCGCCGCGGAGGCCCTGCCGGCCGCGCGCCCCTTAGACCCCGCCGCGGGCTCCCGCCCGCCTCTCACCTGCTTGCCGCGCGGGACAACATGATGCTGCTGCTACTGCCGCGCCGCCGCCTCCAAGCCTCCTCCTAGCCCGAGCGGTCCGACCGAGCCGACAGTCGGGACTGCGCGGCGTCCCCGGCAGCGCCGCAAGGACACTCGCCTCGCGGCCCGCTACGCCCCGCCCCGGGCGCGCCCAACCCGGTGGGGGGGACCCGGGCTGCCCCGCGGTCAGTTCCGCCCCGCGCTAGCCGCACACCCTTCGCCGCGGGGACAGCAGAAAGGGGAATGCAAGTCCGCCCTCGGCCACGGCAACTCCGGTGCCTGTTTGCCGTACTTGTGTGGCGAGTGGCCGGAGGGAGGCCTCCCCTCCCCTCTGTGGCGTTGGTACGGCCCGCGGCCCCGCCCCTGCTCCGCCGCTCCCGGCTGCCTCGGGGGTCGAGGCGCCGGCGGCTGCTCCCTGCCCTTCTCGTCCGCGCGCGGGGCGGCGTAGGCTGGGCACCTCCCGCGGGGGAGGCTGTCGTGCCTCCCCTGGGGCCCTGGGGACTGTTCCTAGGGGAGACAGGGCCGAGCCGCTGCTTACGCCCCCCAGCGAGCGTGTTGGAGGAGGGCTCGGGGCCAGCGCCGGCTAACCTGTATTTAGTTAGCCCTTGTGCACCATGCCCTAGTGACTTTGCTTTGCAAGTAAGCTGACCTTGGGACTTCCTCCAAGCCAGAGCCAGGACAGGAGCCATACAGACTTTTATCCCCGCTGGCTGCCTAATGATAGTGTTATTGGGCACCTATGATGTGCCCCAGACTGCACCGCAGGATTTCCATACATTTATCTTTTTCTACCACTAGGGTCGGTATGGCTGGCGCTTGGTAACAACAGTTAATGAAATCGTCTCACAGGTTAAGCAGCTTGCCCTGGTCGCAGTTAATAAGAAAAAGAGTCAGGACTAGAACTCAAAGTTCACACTTTCCTGCCAGTCAGGTTTGTGTGTTTAGAGTAACTTTTGTGAGCCAACTGCTGAGGAGAATAATATTAATAATAAAAGGAGTCTCTCCTATGCTGTCTTATAGTCTAAAAATAAGCTGTAAGTATCAAATGCTTTCTTAACTATTAAAAATAACAGTTCTGAATTGTGTGAATCCTTGCTGCGTAGAAGTTAGGAAAGCCTCACGGTGTCACTCTACTGAATAGAACCATCTGGAAGGAAGCAGGCAGCAGGTACTGAATAAAGAGTATCAGTTGTTTGCTTCCACTCCCCGTACAGCCCTCCCAAGGATGGCTAGGTTTGGGTAAGCAGAATGGGAAAACATACTCAAGCCAAGAGGAACTGCCTGAGCGTGGCTTCACAACAGGAAGGGCTGAGGCTTGTTTGCAGACATCAGGAGAATGTAACTAAGAGGTTGGGTTGGGGTGAAGGAGGAAATTCAGGTTGGGACCAGGTTAAGGACATCCTTAAAACTCAGATAAGGCTGGACGTGGTGGCTCACGCCTGTAATCCTAGCACTCTGGGAGGCCGAGGCAGGTGGATTGCTTGAGGTCAGGAGTTCGAAACCAGCCTGAGCAAGAGTGAGACCCCCGTCTCTACTATAAATAGAAATAAATTAATTGGCCAACCAAAAATATACAGAAAAAATTAGCCGGGCATGGTGGTGCATGCCTGTAGTCCCAGCTACTTGGGAGGCTGAGGCACAAGGATTGCTTGAGCCCAGGAGTTTGAGGTTGCTGTGAGCTAGGCTGATGCCACGGCACTCACTCTAGCCTGGGCAACAAAGCGAGACTCTGTCTCAAAAAAAATATATAGCGAGAGGATCACTTCAGCCCAGGACCAGTCTGGGCAACATGGCAAGACCCCATCTCTACAAAGAAATGTTTTTAATTAGCTGGGCAGGGTGGTAGTCCCAACTACTGGGGAGGAGTTCAAGGATGGAGCCCAAGAGTTCAAGGATGCAGTAAGCTATGATTTCGCCAGTTCACTCCTACAGAGGGAAACCCTGTCTCAAAAGATAAAAAAACAAAACGACTCAGACAAGAACATCTGTTTGTTATGGTTGGTAACATTTTAGCCAGTGTTTTTTCAGGCAAGGTAGTCTGGCGCTGATACCATGAGGGCAGGCTAGTTAGGAAACTTTGCATTGGTCCCCATATGGGGTGCTGTGGGCCAGTTTTAGGGTACTAGCTATGGGTACTAGAAGAAAGGGCATTTTGGGTTTTTTGTTGTTGGGTTTTTTTCATTTTTTTATTTCAGCATATTATGGGGGTACAAATGTTAAGGTTACATATATTGCCCATGCCCCTCGAGTCAGAGCTTCAAGCATGACATCCCCCAAACATTGCACATCTCACTCATTATGTTTGTATATACTCATCCCCTCCTCTTCCCTCCCACCCGTCTGACACCCGATAAATGTTATTTCTATATGTCCGCTTAGGTGTTGACCAATTTGCTGGTGAGTACACGTAGTGCTTGTTTTTCCATTCTTGAGATACTTCACTTAGTAGAATGGGTCCCAGCTCTATCCAGGAAAATACAATAGGTGCTATATCACCATTGTTTCTTAAAGCTGAATAGTACTCCATGGTATACGTATACCACATTTTATTAATCCACTCATGTATTGATGGGCACCTGGGTTGTTTCCACAACTTTGCAATTGTGAACTGTGCTGCTGTAAACATTTGAGTGCAGGTGTCCCATTTGTAGAGTGTCATTTGATCTTTTGGGTAGATGCCCAGTAGTGGAATTGCTGGACCAAATGGTAGATCTACTTGTATCGCTTTAAGGTATCTCCATATTGCTTTCCACTGAGGCTGAACCAGTTTGTAGTCCCACCCGCAGTGTAGGAGTGTTCCCATCTCTCCACATCCATGCCAACATTTATTGTATGGGGACTTTTTGATAAAGGCCATTCTTGCTAGAGATAAGTGATATCTTTTATTTTTATTTTTTATTTTTTTTTTTTTTGAGACAGAGTTCGCTTTGTTGCCCAGGCTAGAGTGAGTGCCCTGGCGTCAGCCTAGCTCACAGCAACCTCAAACTCCTGGCTCAAGCAATCCTCCTGCCTCAGCCTCCCCAGTAGCTGGGACTATAGGCATGCGCCACAATGCCGGCTAATTTTTTTTATATATTAGTTGGCCAATTAATTTCTTTCTATTTATAGTAGAGACGGGGTCTCGCTCTTGCTCAGGCTGGTTTCGAACTCCTGACCTCGAGCAATCCGCCGCCTCGGCCTCCCAGAGAGCTAGGATTACAGGCGTGAGCCACCGCGCCCGGCCAAGTGATATCTCATTGCACTTTTGATTTGCAATTCCCTGATGATTAGAGATGTTGAGCATTTTTTCATGTTTGTTGGCCATTAGTGTGTCTTCTTTTGAAAAAAGAAAAGGGCATTTTGAAGGATGAAACAACAGGATTCAGTTACAAGTCAGTCACTGTAATGAAAGGGCTTGATCAAGTGAGAACAAAATCCCTAAAAGCAAACTGAGCCCAGTCAGGCTGTTTCAGTGCACTTCTTGCTTATATAGATAATAATCCTTTGAAACTTAAAGTGACCCCTAGGAAATGCCCTTTAGAACAAGCAACAAATATGGGGGTGAGGGGAGTGACAGCAGCAGCCAAGTAGAAGTATCTCTAACCTCACATCCACCATCAGCTACATCCTTACAGAAGATTGGCTGCAAGAGCATCCAAGATTGAGACCCAGGTTGGAAGGTAAAGAGAAGTTTATTACCTTCCTTCTCTACCATATCTGATAGACAGGCTTCTTTTTCTTTTTTAGGTAGTCACTGTAAGGAAAACTTGATGGCCCAAGGAGTTAGATTACAGTTGACCAGGGTCTGTCCCAAATCCCTCCAGCCAGCTCAGGATGCCTCTGCAATATCAGGGCACCATAAATATAGATTTCCCTTGAATAAACTTCCCAAGTCTACTTGATAGCTATCATGAGATCCCCACAATGCAGACCTGCATATTGGTTAGAGAGCGGGTTAAGATAAAATCATTTTGAGCCAGTTATTAGTTGCATTCATATCTCAGCAACACAGATCTAGCCACAGTGTCTTAAACACAGCATCTTAAACACTGGCAGGCAGTCCAGGGATGAAATGACAATCCCAAGAAGTCATCAAGGATACAGGCTCCTCTATCTTCAAAGCTGCTTCTTGGTCCATAATAGCTTCCACAGCACCAGCCAACTCATCTCCTTTCCAGGAGAGAGGAAGGACAAAAGGTTGGACCCCCATAGTCTCCCTTTAAGGATCCTTTGTGGTAGATTCACCCAACAAATTCCACTCACAGCTCACTAACCATAATTTAAGTACCAGGCAACCTCGTCTAGCCTAGCCACAAAGGAGGATGAGAAATGTATTCATTTAACTGTGCATATTTTAAGTCTGAAAAACTTGGAATTCTGTAACTAAAGGGAAACTGAGTAATAGATTGGAAAATAGCAGTGTTTGCTACATATCCTTAACTAATAAGGCATTATTTCCACATACCTGGAAATAAACTCTGATCATTAATGGGATGATCTTAGCTACATTATCTTGTTTTTCTTCCCCTTTCCCCACCCCCAGGGTTGGGGTTTGTTTGTTTTTTCCTTTTATGTCACAGATCTTACCTAGGCAGGAACCTACGAGAGACTTGCTTGTGCCAACCTGCACCTTGCATGATTGTGATTGTTAATAGGACCAAGAGTAATACCTAAATTTCTAAAATTAAATGATCTAGGCTAAAGGAGAATGTGATGATAAAGATATAATATTGGCAACACTTTCAAAGTGAACTTTACTTTTTTTCCCTACTTCAGGCAAAATTATAATTAGATTGCATCCTCAAAGAACACATTAACTGTTACAAAAGAAGAGAAGAGCTTGGCTCAGAACAGAAGTGTTTTTTTGAACAAAAGCGATAAAACAGGCAATCATGGTGGGTAATCATGAGTCCGTTGTATACATAAAGAGAAAAAGGAACCAGCATTTTTAAGCACATCTCAAGTTGCTAGTGCCAGCTTACATCTCGAAGTAACCTTTTAACAACAAGAAGTTAGATAAAATCATGTAAAATGAGACTGTGTTTTCATACTAAGGTATAAATTTAGTTTGAGGAGCTAGTCAGCTACACGTTGGTATGAGACGGTCCACTTAATTACGAAAGAAGGCTGATCAGTTCTTTGTACTGGGCTTGAGGAGTGTTCTCTCTGTGACATACAAACATGGAACTCTCTTTCATCTCAAAACTGACCCTGAACCTTCCGATCCCTCTCAAACAGACATCTTAGTTTTGTCCCAGACCAGTTTAGAACTTAATCTTTATGTTATGGGCTGTTATGGGCTGAATTGTGTCCCTCAAAATTCATATGTTGAAGTCCTAATCCCAGTGACCCAAAACGTGACTATATTTGGAGATAGTGCCTTTACCGGGGTAATTAAGTTAAAATAAGATCATGTAGGTGGGCCCCAATCCAATATGACTGGTGTCCCTATAGGAAGAGATTAGGACACGGAACACACAACAGCCCACGGGGTGACCATGAAGATACAAGAAAGAAAGTGACCATCTGAAAACTGGGGAGAGAGGCATAAGGAGAAATCAACAGGACCAACACCTTGATCTTGGACTGCAAGCCTCCAGAACTGTGAGAAAATAAACGTCTGTTGTTTAAGCCACCCAGTCTATGGTATTTTGTTACGGCAGCCTGAGCAAACAAATATACCAGTTCAGAGATTTCTGTAATCTGATCTGCTTATCAAAGTTTCAGCCACTGTTGAGGTTATAATCACAATCGTTGGGCTTCCTTCCTTCCTGGGACTTCCCCCACTGCTCCCCTGCCCCTCTCTGCCCTGCCTCTGACCTGCCTATATGCAGGAGGGACAGCCTTTCTCAGCTGGCTCCTGCTCTGGTGTCATCTGGCCCAGGTTACTAGTGACACCAGCTCCAGCCACAAACGGGGACTTTGGAAAGGGTCTGGTTCACTTTAATTTTAGTGGCCTGCACTAATGTGGGACTTTTTGTACAGGTGACTTCTTTGGTATTTTCTTGCACTGTGTCCAGGGTCACCCCAACTGGCTCTCGGTCATGGAGATCCCTCACTCCAGCTCTGCCCGTGCAGAAGTCGTGCCTCTGTGTGGTCCCACCTACCGCTCTTCTGGGTAAGCGTTCCCTTGATCAGTTGTGCAGCCACCAGGGACACCTGGCTTATGCTTCCTCACATGAAGTCATGGTATGAATGGGGCTATCTTCTGCAATGCTGGCAGCCACAGGGAACTGACATGGAGGTGTCTCCAAACCTCCTTTCTCAGGCACTTCATGCCTGCTCCCTGAGACCAGCTGATGCTTCCACCTTCAGAGTGCAATGATGAAAGTGGGCAGCAGTGCCCAAGTTCACCCCAATGTTCAGGATACATACAGGGACTTGACAGCAATGGTGTGTCATCATTCAGTGTAACTTTGACAATGTTTGGAGACATTTCTGGTTGTCACCAAATGGGGGCAAATCACTCCTGAGTACCACTGTTGTAGCGATAAAACTATTACGAAAACATCAAACCAGGTGTGTTAGTTAGCAAAGGATGCCAGACCATGGAAGGCAAAGCTGAAGAGTAGGCTAAATGACCATGAAGGGTTTAGAAAAAGAGCAGAGAAGTTCAGGCTCTACCCTAAGGTTTTGATGCAGTTTGCTCACTGAATGTGATGATGCTCCAGCTCCCCGGTGTCCAAGTCTTCTTGGCCTCAAAACAGTCATGGCTTGAAGCTTGGTCTGATGAGTTTACAATTAGTAGGAAGATTAAAAAAAAAAACCCTACAGGGGAGAATAAACAAGTTCCTAAGATCTATTACAAAGAAAGAATAGTTGGTTAAAAACAATAAATTAAGCCGGGTGCGGTGGCTCACGCCTGTAATCCTAGCACTCTGGGAGGCTGAGGCGGGCGGATTGCTGGAGATCAGGAGTTCGAAACCAGCCTGAGCAAGAGCGAGACCCTGTCTCTACTATAAATAGAAAGAAATTAATTGGCCAACTAATATATATAGAAAAAAATTAGCCGGGCATGGTGGCGCATGCCTGTAGTCCCAGCTACTCGGGATGCTGAGGCAGAAGGATTGCTTGAGCCCAGGAGTTTGAGGTTGCTGTGAGCTAGGCTGACGCCACGGCACTCACTCTAGCCTGATCAACAAGCGAGACTCTGTCTCAAAAACAAACAAACAAAAAAAAACACAATAAATTAGAGCAAAGTTATACTGAATGATGACAACAATCTTGGAAAGAATTGGTGTGCCTGCAAAAAAAAAAAAAAGAAAATAATAGGTACACCATCACCCACAAGTTCCTTTATCTAAAAGGTAAACACAGTTGGGAAAAATCACTAATATAATGCAGCAGGCATTATTGAGTACTGCTTGCAAAACATTGAGATATCATGCAAATGAATCAGCTTTTCAATTGGGAAAAAACCAACATAAAATCACCACACACAAAAATAATAATAAGTTATCATTTATTGAGTACTTACCTGCCAGAATCCTTACTAATTGATGTTGTTCAATCCTCACCAAGTTTTACAGATAAAGAAACTGAGATTAAGAAAGATTAAATAATTCTCCCAATGTTACTACACTAGATAAGTAATACAGGATATAAACTTAGGTTGTTTTGACTCAAGAGACCATGGTTTTTCCACTCTACCATGCTGTTTCAGGAAGAATAAATGTAGTGGAAGATTTTTAATACACATTCCACTTCAACAACTTGCCAGATTAACAGATACCCTTCTGTTCCTCTGTAGGGAACGGACAGATGCTCGTAGCCCATGAAGGATCAGGGCTAGATCACCCATTACCACCCCTAACTGTTAAGTAGCATGCTTACCGAGAGTCAGGGATGCTTGTTCCCAAAACAGATTTATGCCTAGTTTCACTTAATTTCCAGTTATTGAAATTATGTAATTTAAGTAAACTGATAAAATATGAGTATGAAAATAAAGGAAGTTATTATAATGAAAACTAAATTGAGTGCTTTGTGAATTGAATGCTTTGAGCCACTAAAAATGATCGCTGTGAAGTGAACAAAACAAATATATAAGTTTCAGACAATCATTAAACAAAGGATCAGATTGCTTTGTGGTTGTCTTTATGTCCAACTCCACTTCAGAGACTTGAAAATGGAAATTAGAGACAATGCATTATTAGTGTCGTGATCAGTAGCTCCAGTAATCTTCTGGAGCTTTATCTGAAAAGTATTGAATAAATACCCATTTATATGTTGTAAGTTAAAATGCATTTTTAAGGTATGTATGTGGCGTTTTATTCTGACTCCCACTCTTTTTTTTTTTCTGAGACAGAGTCTCACTCTGTTGCCCAGGCTAGAGTGCCATGGCATCAGCCTAGCTCACAGCAACCTCTAACTCCTGGGCTCAAGCGATCCTTCTGCCTCAGCCTCCCGAGTAGCTGGGACTACAGGCATGCACCACCATGCCCGGCTATTTTTTTCTATTTTTGGTAGAGACGGGGTCTCGCTCCGCCCGCCTCGGCCTCCCAGAGTGCTAAGTACAGGGATGAGCCACCACGCCTGGCCAATTCCCACTCTTTTAAGGGCATGGATAAAAAGACTTAGTCTCTAAGTATGACATGAAGAACAAATATCTCTGTGAGTGTACTGTGAAAGTTGTATTGGAATGTCTGATCTTTGGGACATAATGTCTATTTTTGTTAAACTTTGACTTTTCATTGGCCTGGTTTTCTTTTAGGTTCAGTCTAAGCTCAAGTCCAATGCACAGACTTAATTTTCTTTTCTTAAGTTTCCCTGGAACACAATGTAGGTTCTCAGTTTTTAGACTGAACTCTGGGTGAGAAATCCTCAGTGACGAGATGGTCTCCAAGACCACAAGTCAAAGGGTCTGCTTGAAACAACTGCCAGGCAAGGTGACAGCAGTCAAGTAAGATTTCCCTGTGTACCACCCTCAGGCCACCACCATGACCAATATAACCCCACACTCCTTCCCCTACAGCCCAAACTTGGTGAAGTCAGAAATCACCGTTAGATGCTCAAAGAGGAGGAGCAGCAAAAGAAGACAGGTCAGAAGAAAAGAAACACCCAGCTTCCCACCCCTTCTCCACTGCAGGCTGCCGGAAGCTTGTGCTGAGGGAGGAGAAGTCTTGACTTTAAATCAGTATCAGGATTTTGATTCTCACAGGGGTCTGAGCATTTTAGATAGTGAATTAAGCCTGTGTTCTGACTTAATGATATGACTTTTTATTACTGAAGAATATTCTTTTGAAAAGTCACGAGACCAGCATTTGATCCAGGGGCAAAGAGAAAACAAGCCCACCAGGCAAATTTCATGACCTAGTGGGCAACACAAGGAATATCACTTTATGATCATGTCCCATGAGTCATTGTTATTCAATGTACTAGTCACACATCCATGTTAGGATAGAATTACAAATTTTCCCACATTTTGATATTTGAATGGGCCCCAAGATTTCCACCTCTAATATGGATGTTTTTCCCCCAATGAGTATATCCCATGGGTCATTTCGGTGGGGATTCTAGAATCCCCCATCTTGCTTGAGGAGCACGCACCTCCTGACAGCCCAGTGTGACCTTTAAAGTTAGGAAATGAGGCTGGGCGCGGTGGCTCATGCCTGTAATCCTAGCACTCTGGGGGGGGGAGGGGATCACTCAAGGTCAGAAGTTCAAAACTAGCCTGAGCAAGAGGGAGACCCCATCTCTACTAAAAATAGAAACACATTAATTGGCCAACCAAAAATCTATACAAAAAATTAGCCAGGCATGGTGGCACGTGCCTGTAGTCCCAGCTACTCGGGAGGCTGAGGCAGAAGGATCGCTTGAGCCCAGGAGTTTGAGGTTGCTGCGAGCTAGGCTGATGCCACCGCACTCTAGTCAGAGCAACAGAGTGAGACTGTGTCTCAAAAAAAAAAAAAAAAAAAGGCAAAAAGAAAACACTTCTGAAAGCTAAATACATTTGAAGATAAGTTAAAAGTTAATAAAAGTATTAAAAGAGTACATTAGCTAGACAAATTTAGGAAGACCATCAAGTTCTTTTAAGTCAACAAATCTTTATGAAAATTTAAATAATGATATTAAATAAGAGGGATGTATTTAGAGTTTTTAAAGTTCTTGCATAATAAATACACATTTACATTTTAACTAACCAGTAGAATTTCAATGAATATAGAATGTCAGATTTTCAACTCATACTCCATCTATCAACTATCTAGTTATTGAAAATAATCTGAATGGCATGCCTTGTTCTGTGATTTATGTTGCTACCCCAGCTGAATACGATGGTGACTTATGCTGTTATATAATCACTCATCTAGCACAAGGTCAGGGATGGCCCCAATGACATTAAAGTGAGCACTTGACTGCAGCTGTCCAAAAGCCAAGGCTGAAGCCTTGAATCCTAGAGCAGGCGTCCTCAAACTGCGGCCCAAGGGCTATATGCGGGTGTGTTTGCCCTTTTGTTTTTTACTTCAAAATAAGATATGTGCAGTGTGCATAGGAATTTGTTCATAGTTTGTTTTTTGTTTTTTTTTTTTAACTATAGTCCGGCCCTCCAACATTCTGAGGGACAGTGAACTGGCCCCCTGTTTAAAAAGTTTGAGGACCCCTGTCCTGGCGGATTTTGGAAAAATTCCCAGGTCAAACTCATGCCGTGGTTTGTCCTTAAAATTCTTATTGAATATAGATTATCTTTTCTATGCTTTCTAGTAAGATTCCTGTACAGAACAGACATACCTGTCCACTGGCATTTATCCTGTATATCTTGCTCATTTCCTCTGTTCAGTGTTTGAGGCCCCCAAACACTTCCTAGTCCTTGCAGTCCGCTCTTCTGCGGGCCAAGTCTCCATCTCTGTGTCCTACTTAGAATAAAACATACCCAGCTCCCCTCCTGTGCTCCCTCACTGCTGAGCCCTGTAGGAGAATGGAACTCTGGGAATATTTGTTTGCCTCAAACACAGCTAAGTTTGGTGTGTTTGGAAGGAAGCCTATGGCCCTGATCACTTCCAGTAGCCTCCTCTCCAAATACGCCCTCACTACCATCTGGCCGTTCCTCTGTCAGGGGCAGCAGCAATACTCAAACTTACTGGATCATTTGGTTGTATTAAATGTTTTCTTCTCTCTCATTTATTTCCTAGAGAGCAAGAACAAAATCCCCTTCCCCTATGTCTAAGATTTCTCCTACTGAGAGGGAAACTTATTCAGTTCAAGAGTCTACAGGGAAAACATAAGGATGCTTTAAGTAGGAGATACTTCCTTTTATCATATCGGTCTGATGAGATTAAACATACTTTAAGGGCTCATGCCTATAATCCTAGCACTCTGGGAGGCCAAGGCTGGTGGATCGCTGGAGGTCAGGAGTTCGAGACCAGACTGAGCAAGAGCAAGACCCCATCTCTACTAAAAATAGAAAAAATTAGCCAGTCAACTAAAAATGAAACAAAAAATTAGCCGAGCGTGGTGGCTCGCACCTGTAGTCCCAGCTACTTGGGAGGCTGAGGAAGGAGGATCGCTTCGTCCCAGGAGTTTGAGGTTGCTGTGAGCTAGGCTGACACCATGGCAGTCACTCTAGCCCAGGCAACAAAACAAGACTGAGTCTCAAAAAAAAAAAATTGGGGGGAGGGGGGGAAATGGGCATTTATTGAAACCTTAAAATCTGTACCCCCATAATATGCCGAAATTAAAAAAAAAACACACACATTATGTCACATTCTCTGTAGTAGTTGTTCCACTATGTTGCTAAAGGCTTCTGCTTTTGCATATGTTTCTGTGGAAACCCTGCTGTGTATGTTTCAGAGAGTGGACTCTGAAATCAGCTTAACTTCATCCAAGTTGAGGTTTTACTGTTAACTGTGCTGTCATCCAACCTCTCTGGGCCTCTGCTGTCCCATGCGTCAAATAAGACTAATCAAAGCCTTCACTTCCTTAGATGTCTGGTTGTGAGGACCAAAGCAGCATCATTTACCATCTGTCTTTCTGCTTCTTCCTCATCCCCAATTCTTTTTCCTCTCCAAACCCAGTGACTTCGGATTTTGCCGAGTCCTGCACTAGATGACATGTCTCATACTGACTTTTCCATCATACAGGAACAAGCCTGGCTCTGACCTGGAACTGACAAGCACATTCCATCCCAGCTTCCTCAGTCCTTTATCCTGATTGCACGCCCCACCCCCTCCCCAGGCTGGGCCTCGGTAGCGACCTTCTAGGAACCCACATGGACTTGACTTTGGCCAGCAGGCTCAGAGGCACAGCATTTAGCTGTTTTGCTTTTGTTTCATCACCAGGTGGTGCTCTTTTCTAGAGTACAAGAAAGGCATTCCCGCTTTGCACTTTGTTGAAAAGGTATGTACCAAACACCTGCAAGTCCGTGTGCCCAGACTGTGAAATAATCCTACCCTGGGGCCTCGCCTGGTTGGCCACATCACAGCTCACCAGTGTTTTCATCAGAAGCCTTTGATGGAGTGGAATGGGAGTGAGTCACAGATTTTTCTCTGGTGTCTGGCTGGAGCAGAGCTGTTATTATCTAAAAGTTTTCTGTCTTGGTAAGCTGTCACCTTTGCTGGTTCTTTGATTACAGGAAGCAGGCTTTTGTTCGGGGGCATTTCTTTATCTGTGCTTGTTGGTGTTTCCAGATGGCTAACTTCTGGGAGATAAGAGGCAAAAGGAAAACCCAGGGAGCTCACCCCTGTGTCAGTCCTCAGGTCCTGAGGTCCTTGGCCAGTCTGCCTCCTTCTCTCCACCTTTCAGTCTTCTTGTGCTTGTTTTATAAATAATGCCCAGGTTTATTAATTGTACTTAATGAGAGGAATGTGTAAAAATATGTCTACTCCATTTTTCCAGAAGTGGTAATCTTGCAGAATTGTGTTTAGAAAGGGCTTGCTGTGTGGAAGATGGTTTTGATGAGAAGCAAAGATGGGTAGCAGAGGACCAATGAAGTGGTCATTGCATTAGTCCATGAGAGAAGACCTGGACTGGCCAGTAGCACTGGGACGCAGATGAGAGGGAGAGAGGAAAATATTTAGGTGGTCAATAAAGGCTAATGAGAAAGCACATTAACTGGATGAACAAAAATAAATAAATAAGGTCAGGGAAGAGCAAATAATAATAAGTCTAGTGGGTGGTCAACGTAGTCAATAGTAGAATGACTGCTTAATGCCCAGTACTCTCCTCTAGCAGCAGTACAGATTTGTAACTTGTAAATAGGCACGTAGTTTTTTGAATGGATTGTCTCCTGAGCTAGTGGGTTTTTAATTTGTGGGGAAAAGAGAATCATCCTTTTTAAAAATTAGAAGAGGCTGGGCACAGTGGCTTATGCCTGTAATCCTGGCACTTTGGGAGTCTGATGTGGGAGGATCGCTTGAGCCCAGGAGTTCGAGACCAGCCTGGGTAATATAGCCAGACCATGTCGATACCAAAAAAATGTCAATTAACTGGGTATGGTGGTATGTGCCTGTAGTCCTAGCTACTCAGGAGGCTGAAATGGGAGGGATGCTAGAACTCAGGAGTTCCAAGCTGTGTGAGCTAATTTTGGGTCCTCACTATAGTTGAGAGAGTGAGAGCTCATCGCAAAGAAAAAAAATTAGAAGAGATTTCACTGAGTGTTCTACCAGACAGTATCTTACCTATTGCAGACATAAGGTTAATGAACACAATTAGCAAGCATCAGAGGTAAACAGAGTAGTATTTTGATAAGTTCTGAAAATACTATAAGATTCTCTAAGACTCTTATTATTATTATTGTTATTTTTTGAGACAGAGTCTCACTCTTGTTGCCCTGGCTAGAGTGCCATGGCGTCAGCCTACCTCACAGCAACCTCAAACTCCTGGGTTCAGGTGATCCTCCTGCCTCTGCCTCCCGAGTAGCTGGGACTACAGGCATGCGCCACCCAGCTAATTTTTTCTATATATTTTGAGTTGGCCAATTAATTTGTTTCTATTTTTAGTAGAGATGGGGGTTTCGCTATTGCTCAGGCTGGTTTTGAACTGCTGACCTAGAGCGATCTGCCCGCCCGCCTGGGCCTCCCAGAGTGCTAGGATTACAGGCGTGAGCCACCGCACCCAGATGTCTCTGAAATTTTTAGTGTCACTAGGTCTTTGCCTTACGAAAGTTTGATTTTCTGGAACTGAACAATGGTTCTTAAATTTTTACTTTATCATATTGCCATACAATGAGGGGTATGGACATGATAATATAAAGTAAAACAACAACAATGAAGCAAAATGTTAACAGAAAAACCTAGCTTTGTTGGCACGTTTCCATTTTCTTTAACTTGTTTATCATGTAAATGTCCTTCCTCTCTAACTATGTAAGTTAGAAAGTGTTTATGGGTAATGGGAATGCTGATGGACAGTTGTTTAAATATAAGGACATTTCTGTTTTACTTAATAAATAGCCCCAAAACCAGCAGTCTTGGGTGAAGCTGGAAGCTTAACAACATCGTCCAGAACCAGGGACTTTCCATGCTTGGCTCTGCATTCTCACAGCCTACTTTGGTTTTTTGTTTTTCTAACTTGTTGCCTCATAGTCACAACATGGTCTTTCCTTTTTTTTTTTTTTTTTTTTTGAGACAGAGTCTCTCTCTGTTGCCCCAGCTAGAGTACAGTTGTGTCATCATAGCTCACAGCAACCTCAAACTCCTGGGCTCAAGTGATCCTCTTGCCTCAGCCTCCCAAGTAGCTGGGACTACAGACACATGCCATCATACCTGGATAATTTTTCTATGCTAATTTTTCTAGTTTTGGTAGAGACAGGGTCTCGCTCTTGCTCAGGCTGGTCTTGATCCTGACCTCAAGCGATCCTCCCACCTTGGCCTCCCAGAGTGCTAGGATTACAGGCGTGAGCCACAGCACCCAGTCTATGAGATGGTATGTCCATAGGTGCAAGCATCACAGCCTCTTTTAGTCTTTTAAGAGACAAGAAGAAATGGCAGAGGAAACATTTTCTCCTCACATGCCTCTCTCTTACCAGGGAAGAAAATGTTTCTCAGAAGCCAGAACTGCTCAAGTGTCAACTGGCCAACTGTGCCTGCAAGAAGACTGATGAGCACGGCTATTTGGTGAAGAAGACCATGATGGCACACTTGCCACAGACCAGGGTTTCTTATCACCGGTGGTATTGAAAATATTGGGGGGGAGGGGCCCTTTCAGTTGTCACTCGCATAGAAAGGCACTATTGGTATTTAGTGGGTTGGTCTTGTAACGTTAAATATCCTAAAATGCACAGGGAAAAAAAATTGTCCTGTCCAAAATAGCACTAGTATGCTTGTTAAGAAAATTGGCATATGGATCTTAAAGTCAGCTGATTAAAAAAAAAGAAAGAAAGAAAAAAGAAAAAGAAAGAAACAAAGAAAAGAAGGAAGAAAATTGGTGTATACCAGCCACAATTCATCCCTGGGCTGAAGATACTACATTCCTAGATTGTGCAAGAAGAGGAACATGGCTCCCAGCAGTGTGTGCCATGGGCTGAAAGTTGGAAGGAGTACAGCAATGCTTAGTCATTCTAGCACACTAAATCTTCAGAAAGCTGCTGTTATTTGTACTAAATGGGTTGCAAGGAAAAAATGTACAGGGATTGGGACAGGAAAATTACTTGCAGAGGGTGTCTTCATTTTTCCTTATGCAGGGATTTCCCAGTAGCTGAAAAAGCCTGTTTCCAAGAATAATTGACTCTGAGTTAGTTACCCGAATCTCTGTTGCAATCTCTGCTGACTAATGGACTCTCCTTGCCCCTTACCACACCAAGGAATTCAGAATGTTTAAAACCAAACTCTACAGCCAATATTTGGGGGAATAAAATGTCTTTTGCAGACCCTCTACTAGCATAATGTGGCAGGGATTTTGTAAATGTTTCTTGGGTATAGGACAAATACTTGGACTCAAAACTATACAAATGAGGCCTGGAAAATTGTTCAGCATTATGTTCAAGGAAGCAGGTACAACGAAATAGCATTTTTAAAAATCTTTATAAAGAGCTATTTATGTTTTAATTACTATTATTTTTAATTGACACAGAATAATTGTACATATCGGGGTACAGTGTGATAATTTGATAGATGTGTAATGATCAAATCAAGGTAATTAGCATACCATCACTTTAAATATTTATCATTTCTTTGTGTTGAGAACATTAAAAACCTACTCTCCTAGCTATTTGAAAATATACAATAAACTGTTGTTCATTATAGTCACCCTATATTGCTATAGAACACTAGAACTTATTCCTCCTGTCTGGTTGCATCTGTTGTCCAACCTCTGGCTATCTCCTCCCTCCCTGCCACCCTTTCCAGGTTCTAGTAACTGTTGTTCTACTCTCTACTCTCTAATTCTATGAGATCAACTTTTTTAGCTTTCCTATGAGTGAGAACATGCAGTATGTATCTTTCTGTGCCTGACTTATTTCCACTTCACATAATGTCCTCCAAGTTCATTCTTGTTGTTGAAAATGACAGAATTCTATTCTTTTTTATGGCTAACTAGTATTCCAGTGTTTATATATACCATATTTTCTTTATTTTTTTTGAGACAGCTAGAGTGCTGTGGCATCAGCCTAGATCACAGCAACCTCAAACTCCTGGGCTTCAAGCCGTCCTCCTGCCTCAGACCCCCAAGCAAGTGGGACTACAGGTTGAGGCCATGATGCTCAGCTAATTTTTCTATTTTCAGTAGAGGCTAATTTTTTCTATTTTTAGTAGAGATAGGGTCTTGCTCTTGCTCAGGCTGGTCTTTTTTTTTTTTTTTTTGGAGACAGAGAGTCTCACTTTGTTGCTCCAGCTAGAGTGCCATGGCATCAGCCTAGCTCACAGAAACCCCAAACTCCTGGGCTCAAGCAATCTTTCTGCCTTAGCCTCCCAAGTAGCTGGGAATACAGGCATGTGCCACTATGCCCGGCTAATTTTTTCTATATATTTTTAGTTGTCCATCTAATTTCTTTCTATTTTTAGTAGAGACGGGGTCTTGTTCTTGCTCTTGCTCAGGCTGGTCTTGAACTCCTGAGCTCAGGCGATCCTCCTGCCTTGGTCCTCTGGAGTGATAGGATTACAGGCATGAGCCATGCACCCAGCCAATGCCATATTTATTTTCTTTATCCATTCATTCACTGATGGACACTTAGGTTGATTCCACATCTTGGCTATTGTGAATAGTGTTGCAAGAAACACGGAAGTGCAGATATCTCTTCAATATACTGATTTCTGAAATAGTATTTTAATAATAGCACTAGTAAAAATTATAATAGCAATCTAATTATATTATTTAAAAAAAATTTTAGAATGCCAGTAGAAGTCTTTGTGGTCTTCAAAGACAATGAAGACTAAACATTATTAGCTCTGATTATGGTTAAAAAATTTAAATGTTAACTAAATCTGAAAGATTAGATATATTGGGTTGATATGTTGCATTGTTATTCACAGTAAGTACTTTATAAGAATGTAAGTGTAAAACCCACTAGAGTAGAAAGGCAAAAGTAGGCTAGAAAGTTTGGTTTGGTTCCCAGTCTATAAAACCATGAATCTTTATGCTTGACACAAACTAAGCTGAATAAATAATATCTCCTAGGCTAATTGCTAATGAGGAATAAGAGATCACCTGGTACAGAAGAAAAGAACAAGCATTCCAGACAGAAAAAAAATGGATCCAGTAAAAGTACTAACTGGTGAAATAGCATGTCATGGTCATAGGCACACCAGCTCTGAGCTCAGGAGAGCATCATGAATTCCTGTTAACTTCTTCAACCTCCAATTCTGGACTATCTCTCCAGACTCCCTGGATTTCTTGAGTGACAATAACTAAGACTAGACTTATTACAACTAAAAAAATCTTTTTTCCCTCTGTACTCCTGCAAAAACCTGAATGTTTATGTCCATCCAAAATTCATATATTGAAATCCTAACCCCAAATGTGATGGCATTAGGAGATAAAGCCTTTGAAAGTCATTAGGTCATGAGGGTAGAACACCCCATGAACAAGACTAGTGGCTTTATAAAAGTGACCCCATACAGCTCTCTTATCTTTTTTCCACCATGTGAGGATATGAGAAGTCAGCAGCCTACCAACCCAGAAGACGGCTCTCATCAGAATCCAACCAGGCTGGCCCACTAATCTCAGACTTCTAGCCTCTAGAAGTATAAGAAATATTTCTGAGGCTTATAAGCCACCCAGGCTATGGTACTTTGTTATTGTAGCCTGAATGGACTAAGACTCCTCCCAATTAATACTTTATTCAGTGATTCCTAAGTCAAAGTAGTAGGAATGTAACTTATAGACTAAGTACTAGGCTGATGGGAAATAAGTGGGCAACTTACTTAATATCAATGTAACTCAATAGTATGTGCTACTTGATACAGTAATATGTAACTTTCCACATACTTTGATATCTTATTTAAAATGGTGCTTGACGCTGGTTAGATATTCATACTGAGAGACTATAAAGTAGGCCTAACTCAGCTGCTCAGTAAATATTTGTTGCTAATAGTTTCATAAATTTTTTGGATTAATTTTGATAGTATTGTTAGATGTGCACTATAACCCTGTCTCCTGTATTTTCTATAAGTTGAAGGTTGTCCCACTATTACTGATACTAAATTTGATGGTTTGTTTCAGATAGTGACCACCAGTGTGTTCTCTTTGCAATTAGATAAATAGCCTTTGGAGTGATACTTTGGTGCCACAGGAATATTCCACTTCTGAGAAATCTTTCATCTAAAGGTTTTAAGGTCCGTTGACAATCCTCTTCTAAGCCAAGTATTTAATTAGGGTTTGCATGATGGTTATTTTCTATCATTTATTCCATATTTATTAGCAGGCACCCTATTGTAAAGAAGAGTTTTTCCTCACCAACTAGGCATGAACCAAAATTCCTTTCTCAAACAACAACAAAAAAAGGCAGGGTAAATGCTATTTTCCCTTTAATAGCTAATTTTTAGAGTAATAAATTGGTATAATAGTCACTCTCAATGATGGAAAAATAGTTTTCCTTCCTTTCATTCTCTCTTCTCTATAACTACAGCCATAGATTTTTATTCAGTATTTGCAACCAATTGTATTAATTTCCTTTTGGATGCTAAACTTGCCCTGAATTTGGCCTATGGGAGATTCTTCAAGCTGGCTCCAGTATCTCTAAAATTTACTTTTGAGAGACTGAACATACAAACAGACAATAGCCAGACCATACAGAAAAACCGAATTCTAACTCATTGCCTGCAACAACTGGCCTAGGATACCAACCCCTCATCTACGATCATCAGCCCAGGAAGCCAACCTGCCATCAACCCGACGGGTAGGAAGTCAGACTGCTATCTCTAGCAACAATCCAGGAAACTAAACAAGAACCTCTACAACAATCAGGTCGAAATGGCCCAGGACTTGATTAAAAACTGACAGTTTCTCTAATTTTTGTCCCTACTTCCAACTTATGACAAACCAGCCAAAGTCAAATATGCTCCTCAAACCCAGCACAGAGGAAGCCTGCTTCTAGTTAGCCTCTAGCTTCCCCAGGCCAACAGCCTCTAATCAGGGCACACCCGAAGCCTTCCCTTTCCACTGAGCTTTCCTACCTCTCTGCCTGCCTTTGAGCCTCTACCAAGACCTAAGTGACAGTGACTGACTACCTTGCTTTAGCAAGTTCTCAATAAATAGCTTTTTATTTTCTCATTTGGCTTGTCTTGGTTTATTCCCACACTTTATTGAGGTATAATTTACATGCAGTAAAATGCATCCACTTTAGTGGGTCAGGTTGATGAATTCTGACAAATGTATATAGCTGGATAATCATGATACAGAACAAATGGATATACCTGTTCAACCATGGTACAGAACATTTCCATCACCCCCAGCAGTTCTCCCATTATCCTTACCAGTTGATTCCTTCTCTCTTCCCCTCTTAGCCAACTACTGATATGAAGTTTATCACTGTTGGGTTAGTTTTGTTTTTTTTCTCCTAAATCCTGCTGACATAGTCTCATTAGCCTAAGCACTTCCTTTGCATTCAGGCACAACTAAATATTTCACTCATCATGTGTGTACTTTCCTGCTCCAAAACTGGAATCAGCCAATTCTCTAAGGAGCCATGGATTGTTTAGTGGGAAATGGAATTTAGAAACCAAGATCTGGGTGCTAGGTGTCCCCATTGTTATTATAGGGTGACCAACCATCCTGGTTTACCTGGGACTGTTCCATTTTTAACTGGAAAGTCCAGCATCCCTGGAAAACCCTTCAGTCTCTGGCAAACTGGGGTAATTGGTCACTCTAGTGTTTTAAGGCCCTTTCAGTGCACAGAACTAGAAAATGTATTCTAAAAATCATGGTCAAATTGATATTTCCAATTTAAACTTAATATTATACGTTTTTTTGTGAACCTCTTTGATCTTGTATTTGTATTTTATTTTCTCTTACACGGAAAGTCTCTGTACATAATACCATTAAAATGCCTGTACATAGTTTCAAAACCACAATAAAACTACCATACATTATAAATCACTGAGTGGAGCTGAAGATTCCTTTGCACTTCTTTTTCATTCTTAGAATATATAGCTGACGTTTGAACAACACAGGTTTGAACTGCACTTAAACATGTATTTTTTTCAATTGAATGCCAATCAAAAATAAAATATTCAAGGGATACAAACCCATGTACACAAAAGGCCAACTTTTCTTGGTACAGGAGAGTTCCCTAGGACTGACTGCAGGACTGTGGGTCTTGAGTATGTGCAGATTTGGGTATACAGGAGCAGTCCTGCAACCAATCCTCCACATATAATGAGGGACACCACAGATACATTACGAATATTGTGTTCAAAAGCCCAGAAAATAATCCTGTGTATCTTAGGTTACAAATTTGACTTACAGTTAAGTTCATTTGTTTCACAATTTAAACTTTGGGGTTTACTTTGTTTCCTTTTTTAGTTACCTTTTGGCTATGGAAAACCTTCAAAAAGTTCAAACTCAGAGAAATCTTTTCTATCTCTATCCTCTCCACTCTTTTCCATTAACCTCTATAGGTAACTATTTTAAGTTTCTAGAATAGCCTTCTAATTCCCCTCCCCCCCATAAGCATGAACATATACATATATTTCCATACCTCGCTTTATTCACTTAATATAAACTGGGATGCATTCCAGAGTAACACATGGAATTTTTTAATGAGTGCATTGTATTCCATTGTATGGATATATCATTTCCAACCAGTTCTCTATTAATAAGATATTTTGGTTATTTCCAAACTTTTGCTATGACAAATAGCACTGCAAGGAATAACCTTGTACATTGTTTCCATTTGTGGAGGTATACCTTCAAAATAAGGTTAGGTCTAGAATGGAATTGCAAGATATAAAGATAAATATATATGTAACTTTCGTACTCCACAGGGCTGAATCATATTCCCACTCCCATCAGGAAAC